CTATATATATATATATATATATATATATAGTACTGTTTCGTTACTGGGCGAAGAGCATACCTGTTCCAAAAGTAGTGCTATACCTCATAGGTGTGCCTTATTTTCTTCTTCTGGTATACCTGTTATTTTACAGAGGTTGTTATCCACTTATTTGAATATTGTCAAGCCTTAACTGGCTCCTCCATCTTTTCAATGTGGGATTCTAACTTTAGGTGAGAAGAGGTAGTACTGTTTCAGAAGTTAACATTTTGTTACACTAAAAATGTCTATATCTCACCCACTTCCCACCCTTCTTCCACACTGATATGCTGGTGTTTTAGTTTGTAACTGCCAATTCTCGAAAGTGAGGATTGTGCTAGAATAGTAGAGGGAGTTACCTGCATTGTTATAGGTGACGCAGTATGATTGGTTTAGGGTAGTCATATGATATGCACATGTTCTGAAATGGTGCAAGAACAAAGGGGTATAATAGATTGGTGTGCTATTAACTAAACATTTTTTTAGCAATGATTATAGAACAAACCAAGATTGAGAGAGCTTTGAGTGATAGTAGGTAAGTACATATTGGAAATACATTTTCAGTGTAGGAAAATGTTAACTTCTAAACTTCTACATATAGTTGCTGTCACAAGGGAAAACATATAGTACTAAAACACACAATTCTCCAGTAATGTCTTCTGTGGGAGAGTTCAGCAGCATGAAAGAGGAATGAGTCTGGACATTGCATAACTAAGAAAAAAAAATTTACTTAGCTTAGCTACATTTCAGACAGGTCTTTCTATATGTTAAATTCTACAAACATGCCAAATATGCATCATCATGAAAAAGTTTGAAATTTTTTATTTTAAACTAAAAGGAGAAAAAACAAAAACAACTGATATGTTTCATATACCACCCTTCTATAAGATTAACTATGTTTACATTAAAATAGTTTTCTTATTTCAAATGTTTATTCAAACAAAACTTAAAAGGTGTCAGTAATTTCTTTTAATTTATCATTCTCTATAAATCTTCACAAACTTCCAATAATTTGAATTGCAATTAGTGATATCTAAGTTTTATATATTTTTGCTCTCTATAGGTTATTAAAAAATGGAACTAAAGTTAGATCAAAGTTTTATTTCCCACTGTCAAACAACAAATTGAACTAAGATGAATGATCTACAAGTTTTACTTCTCCTTCACAGACTTTCAACAAATTGAACTTCGTATATTAGCACATTTTTGTCATGATGAAAAACTTATTAATGCTTTCAGAGGTCCTAATCATTCAGACATTTTTATACAGCTAACTTCTCTTTGGTAAGAGTTTGTCTATTTTTGTTATTGTATTATATTTGTCAGTGGTTGAATGGATTAAAAAAAGTGTAGTTATATCATAATTACAAATTGTAACAATATAACAAGAGCCAAATTATAATAGAGGCTTTATATTTCCACATCTCATGTTACACAACTTGTACTTTATTCAGAACATGTTAAGGAAGCACATTTATTATTCTGTGAAGGAAATGTATGTAAGACATAATTGCTTAAAGTAATCTTTTGCTAGAACATGTCAAATAAAAATTCATCTATGTAGGTAAGGATAGTACATTATTTCCTTTTCTAGCAACTAGCTGCACATACATACATATTTTGCTCTACATTATTAGGTTGTTAGTGTGTGTATTATTAACCCATTTTAGCATAAAAGTATAACCTATATACTTTTATTGCTAAGCAACAACATGACATAAAAGCCATTGTTGGAACGCATTGTTACCAAAGCGCACTGGCTTTTCTATATATTAGAAGTTGTTATATAAAGAACCACTTCTTTTCGATGTGGTTTTTTGCTAGCTTGCCTCATTAAAAATATGAGGTTGTGCATGCACGCATGCTCGTGGATAAGTAATAACCAAGTGCACACTCTCAGGGTCCACTTAGTGTAGGTGCAAAATTTCAGGTTTCTAGATTCTTTTCTCTTTGAGCTATGGCAGTCACATATTCTTTCCTATGTGGTTTTTCGCTATCTTGCCTCCCAAAAAGATGTGCATGTGCGCACACACATAGATGAGTAATAATATCCAGGTGCACACCCTCAGGGTTCACTTAGTATGGATGCAAAATTTCAGGTCTCTAGGTTCTTTCCTCTTGGAGCTATGGTGGTCTCACACATACACACACACAGACCCACAGACAAACAGACATGCCCTTTTATTATTATAGATAACTTAGATCTAGGTTCATAAACACTGATATCTAGTGCATATTAAGGAGTATCTGTTTTCCTGTATGAGATTAAAGACAATTTACAAGTCAAGTTCAAGGAATGTACATTATTTCTTGACTCGTAAGACTGGTTATATGTATGCGAGGCATGGACTCCTAAAGCAACGTATCTCAAGGTCAGGTCATGTGTCAATCTATGAAGAGTAATATACCATTCTCATATGTGAACATATGTAAATTTGTAGTATTCAACAATATGTTTAAAACATTGACTCCTAAAGCAATCTCTTTCTAGAATATGGTATAGACAGTTAATGTTCCAAAGCTAATGACTTTAAGTGTATCTGATCTCTAGGTACTACATAAAGAAATAGGTAAATGGCCTTGTATATTCTATCAGTGCCTTTAAAATAATTGTATAGATAATTATATGAAATATCCATGTTTTAGACAGAGTTATGCTGTATGTAATGGATTTTTGTATAATGTTTTGCCAGTTAAAGTAGTAATATTTTCATTGTAGGTCTTGATATCAATAGAAATAAAAGCAATTGTTGTAGTTTGAACAATTAATAACATAAGAAATATTGTGTAAGTTATGTAGAACTGTAAGTACTTACATTTTAATTAACTTATCTTAAAGTTGTGGAATGTAATGATTACAAACAATAAATATATTGGGCATGATAATTCCTTGAGATAAGTATTAAACAAATTACTTTGATGAATTAATAGAGTTAAATCAGCTGTTTGAATCAGTTTGAATTCTTAATTTTTCTAGATGTCATTAGTTTGTATTCATTTTTCATCAACTGTTTTTAAGGTTGAAGAAACCGTTAGAGTATATCACTTCTGTAGAGAGAGAGAAAACCAAGAGAGTAGTGTATTCTGTGATGTATGGAGTGGGTAGGTTCAGTTAAGAGTATTTCACCAAATAGTTATATATATGAAAGAAAAAAGTGAAAGTGATAAGTCAGTTGTAAATTACTCTTGCTTATCTCAAAATAAAGCTTGAAAAATTCTAAACATTTTCAGTTGTTATATTATGCAACTCTTCTTATAATTTATTTTTTTATGTTTATATTATTAAGTGTTTTTCAGTGATTGTTCAATGTAACTTCATTCTAATCTTTGAACCTTTTGTTTAATAGTAAGATTTTGTTGGAGCCTTAAACATTTGCCTTCCATCCCCAGAACCAAAACTGATTTAATATTACATAGATAACGAAATGTATAATATAAAGGATAACACACTTTTTTGAGGATGAAGTTTTGGCACACTTTGCTTTATCTTTAACAATAGAATAGTGTTTCGATTACATCAGCTGACTAAAAAAAAATGTAAATAGAACATGAGATTACATGTTTATCATAATTTAAAAAAACGTGGCCTACAGTCTTTATGACAACCACATAATAGTAACTTAGGTATTTTATATATAAATATATGTATACAAATATCTTATACCTAGATTCTTAAACACTGGTGAGTGTGTATATATAGAATTTTCAAATATTAATTTCTATTCCATTTGGTTGTTCATAGCATGTCTTTTTATTATTTCTTCCATTATCGTTTAGGAAAAGTAAGATTAGCAAGTTACCTTTCAATACCAGAGAATGAAGCAGGAACTGTAATTGAGAACTTTTTAAGTAAGTTGATTTGTTTGTTTAGAGTTAAATTTACCCAAACAAGAGTTTTGATCCTTCACCAATACCACTTGATTATGGGGCTTAAACATAAGCCTGTTGGATTGAATACATTTAGCAAGGTGAATAGCCATAAAGAGTAGCATTGATAGTGGTAAATGTAAAAGTATTAATAGGTTTTATTCCTTGTAGTTGTAATAGCTTTTATTGATCACGAAAGAGTACTCAAATATAACCTATGTGTTACTTGAAGACATGGTGACTATACCAAAAAAGAAAACGAAAGTTTCAGTAAAGCAATAAAAGTTAAGGATGTATTTGAATTTTATTAGTATATAGGCCATACTTTATGAAAGAAGTATCCTAATGTTTGTGCTTAAAAATAGTAGTGTGCCTGTATTTATAAAATATTTCAAAAGAATTATGAAGTATGAAATTGAATAAGTACATAGCGGAATTTAATGGTATTGTAATATCAAGTGATTTTGACAATTGGATCATTAGAGATTTAATGATTTGTACAATTATAACCTGATCTAGTAAATTTATCAGTTAATTCATATTTTATAATAAGACTATCTTAATTTCATAACATGGGAAAGAACTTCTAACAGTTATACCCATATCTTAACTCTTGATGTACATTGAAGTAAAACATAAGTAAAAAGTTATTCATTAGACTTAAGTAAATAAAAATAGTTAGAAATATATTAAGACAACTGTTACTTTGTAGGTACATGTTATATCAAGGAGCTTAGATTTAAAATTAATGTCTAAATGAATGTTTCAGAAACACCGACTTTTCCAAAGTACATTTTAGAGAATATTTAAAAAAATTATATACAGTGTAGCCCCGTTATACCGCGATTGTTGGGGTCCATAAAATGTCATCACGAAACAAGCGGGGTTGCGCTAAATCAGGATTCAAGAAAATCAATGTTCAAACTAACCCAATGTTGACCTAACATCCTAAAACACCTCTATTTTCGCCCTCTTTGACTAGTTTTTTACGCGTTCACTTTCTGGCAAGTAAATTACCTCTGAATTAAAGAATTTTGCAAATGAATCATTGTTGTTACAGTAGAAATTAAAACACAAATTATTTTTAGTAGGCTTTTTAATAAACAAAACAACAAATAAAAACAATCGAGAATATTAGCAATCATCATTTGCAGTCTATTTCTTAAAAACTGATCAAGTGTTCCTTGCTTAAATGTAGCATGTCTCTGGCTGTGAGTGAAATCTAGAATGCTTCTGAGTTGGAGGATTTTTATGTGGTCCACCTCCTGAGTCTCCAGCCAATGGAGGCTAGCCTCAAGGTGTTCAATGGATTCAGACACTTTTGGTGGTGGTGATGGAGGCTCTTCATTATCCTCTTCTTGTGGCTTGAGAACCGGTACACTTGCCACTGTCGGTGCTATAGTTATGTTACGGACGATCTCAGCATCCGTCAAGTGCTCATATGTTGGGCATTCGTCGTCAATAGAGTGCCACTGGTGTAGCTCTTCTTTGCTCCATTCAGACAGCTTCTTTGCTTCACGCAAATCTTCCTCTGTGAAGCCTTACAAATCTATCTTGTCATCATCATCTTCCGTGGTAGATTGCCATGATGAAAAAGGCTAGCCCCAGACCCTTCTCCCAGCATTTCTCTACACACGACGAGTTGACTGCTGCCCAGGCCTTCCCACCTAAGTGGCAATGTTCAGGCTTTTCAGATAGGCTTCAAGTGTTGTTGAAGGATTTAGTGAAAAAAACGTTTGAAATGCACACAGACTAGTTAAAAAAAAAGAATCAATGTTTTCATGAACAAATTTAAGTAAAAATACTTCATTAAAAAATATGATTTTTTTGTGTGCAAAAGGCTTCTAATGTTTACTATAAGTCTACAAAATATTAAAAGTTATTAGTATGTAAACTATAACGAGGTCGTTCCCAGGGACTGAGCTCGTGTCGAAAGAGTTTATGACCCATCGTGCTATATCCAAATTCACGTTAAATCGGGGGGGGGGGGCATAAAATCGGGGTTTCACTGTATATGTATATATATATATATATTTGTTTTTTGCAGATAGATTTCCTGGTATAAAACAATTTACTAAAAAGTGCATTACAGAATGCAAGAAGACAGGTAAGTTATGAATATTTTGTTTGGCTGTGTTAAATTATACTGTATTTTTGTTCAACCCCTAATTCAGTTTTTGTGTATTATTTATTAGGTTTAAGATTTAAATGTAGAGTGCATAGTGAGCTAGTTAATGATAAATGCTTTTGGCTTTGTTATTATATTTATTTACCTTGTATATTTTTTTTAGCATGATTTACATGCAGTAGCCGTAGAATTCAGTATAATGTAAGGAGCTATAATTGAGCCTGAGAACTCTAAGAATTTGATGAAAAATAACAATTAAATAAAGTTTTCATCATTACTCTATAACTCTTGAGACTTTTATTAAGCTATATGTCCTTCATATTATTCTATGGTAATTAAGTTAAGACACAATTTCCATAATGAGTTTTTGCCCAAGAACCCTTGCATTAAATGTTTCTTAACTTCATTAACCACCTTTTTTTACCTTTGGGTGAATAAATGATTAGTGAGAGACTTATGTAAAATTGAAATATGTCTTGTATTAATTATTGTGATAAACAAAAATATGCATTAATCACAATTATAAATTATAAAAGTGAAAGATATAACTTGTAAAGTTTGAAAATTTTGTAATATCCAATTTCAGGAGAATTGAAAAATTAATGAATGATGTATTAGGCAAATATACATTTGTAATAAAACTTGTGATTTAGTTTTAACATTAGAAGATGTTTTCATTTAAAACGGAAAAAGATAAGATTATCATTAAATAAATATTGTGACTTTTGTTTCAGGGTATGTTTGTAGTCTTCTGAAAAGGAGAAGGGTGCTTCCACACTTAAATTCTATGAATCATGTGTTGCAAATGCAGGCAGAAAGACAGGCCATTAACTTTCTTATTCAAGGTAGCTATAAACATTGGGTGTTAGATTTAAATGAAGACTGCAAGCAAGTTTTTGTTTTCATATCTTTTTGTCATTTTATTAATGTTCTTTTGAAATTGAAGGTAATACGTTTTCATAATATTTGATTGTTCTTTGTTAATATAAGAATTAACAGTGATTTTTCATGCTACTGAGACATGTGAAATGTTAAAACAATGTTTGAAGAGTTCCCAAAAGCTTAAGAAAAATGATAAGTAAATATTTTGAATTTTTCCCATATTTTGATCATGAGGAAACTTGGTTTTCTGTTTTCAAGGAAATGTGTATGAATCAAATAATAAGAATTGCACATGCATAGAGGTACTGTTTTAATTGAAGCATTTCTTTTTTAAGACATTAGATGCTTTCAGGATTTCAAACCATGTAAGTGATATCTTTGTGTAACTTAAATTATCACAAAGTACAAATGATTGGGTAATTATAGTTGCTTAAACATGGTTTTAGCACTGTTGACACATTCTTTAATTTGGAAATATCTTTGCACACAATTGTCTAGGTAAATAGGTAGATACACTTTATATTATTACTTGTAGTTCCACAGTGGCTCAGTAGTAAGTTTGTGTAGTGTAGAAAGCCTGTTGTGTAGCTGTATACTTCAATAAGTGAAATTACTGCTTTTGATAATTGCATGAACTAAGAACTGCAATTTTACTTCTGGTTAGAGATTGAACTTGGGAAACATTCAGAGGCAAGCATTTATTTGATACCCATTTCAGCACTAAAGAACTGTAATGTGCTGTTAATAAAGAGTACTTTTTTCTTTAGGATCAGCAGCAGACATCTGTAAGTCAGCTATGGTTGAAGTTGAGAATGAAATAGCAGCACACACGAATTTACATGCCAGGTAATATACATGTAACAGATAATTTTATGCTGATATAACTTCTAATATACTTACAAGTGATCTTCATGAATCAAATAATCTTATTACAATAGTATTTCTCATAGTGTTTAATATGAGTTAACCCTATGTAGATAAAATAGATAACTTTATACTGGCAATATCTCACTTACTTACAAGCAAAGTAATCTTCCAATCAGACAACTACTGTGATAGCAACTTACATATACTTTTATAATGAGAAAGTTAAAAGAAGTACTCTTTATAAAAACTCTTCAGCCCATCCTTAATCAGGACCAGGTCTTGACTTTAGTAAAATTTGGGTGTTAGTACTCTACAAACACAACACCATACAGAAAACACCACAAACCAGAATTGTCTGGCCACACTTCTACTATCCACAAAAAACACAACCATACTGCTGACACCACACACCAAGCTTGAGCAGATATAATAGCTGTATAGGAGGAGTGCTCCACTGAAGGCACATATGTAGATTGTTTTGGCAATTTGGGCAATATGTTGGCACTCTTTTTCTTATCCTTGCTTCTGCTTTTCCTACTTCTTTTTTTTTAAAGACTGGAAAATATTCATTAGGTGTGACTTCATTCATTTCACTAAAAAAGTCCCTTTGGCCTGAGTGATAGTTTTGGGTCATCCCACATTGGCAATGAATGTGTTAAAGATATATACACACACACACACACACACACACACACATATATATATATATATATATATATATATTGATCAGAGCCACATTGGGCTATCTGCTGTCTTCACTGTGGGGCATCAAACCACAGATTTTAGTAATGTAAGTCTGTCTATTCTGAGAACAACTGTGAACATACATTTTCTTAGATTACCTACAAAAATGGTTTATATCGTCTAAACATTACTACAATACTAGAAACACATATTATATATATATATTCTGCAGTTAACTGCAAACACAGGTCCATAAAGCTAAGTATAATTTTTTCCCAGTCATCATTTTCACTGTGCAGAAAATAGAACATTTGTAAAAAAAGAAATTGATAAAAAATATTTAAGAAAAGTTAAATTTTGAATAATACATTTTTAGCCTAAAGAGTATTGGTGAATTTCAGTTTGTGCAATCATGATAAAAGTTAGCTAATTGAAGTTGATTGCTTTGAATTTCATAATATAATAAACTCTTCCGGCTGTTATTGTAATAACTGTTACTCTCTTAAGGTCAAATACTTTTTCGTCATTTAATTACTAAGGCATATGAAAAGATTAAAAAACTTTATTTCATTCAATTTCAAATGTGAATAAGCTTTTATTTTGTTACAGTTTAAATGTTGAAAGCTGTTAAAATATTAAGAAGCCAATAGGTCTAAACATTGTTACAGATATAAGTTAACTGCAGATGTTTTCTTTTCACATTCCTCTTAATTTGTTCATTGCAGCTCGAAATCAGCAGTATGCAAAATATAACATTTCAGGTTTATCATTTTTCTCTCACAAGTCACTACCTAATAGGCTTTTTATTCAATACCAGAACTCATCAGTTGGACTAGAAAATGAGAGACAAAATGATTCTATGAAATGTTATTTATGTATTCACATAATACATGAAAAGTTACAGTTTAAATTTTGAAAATTGGCAAAATACTAGAAAACAAATATGCTTAGAAATTATTAATAAAACAAGTTAACTGAATTTCAGGTCTATCTTTTGTTTCCCACAAGCCACTATCCATTATCATTTATTCCCATGTTATTTTTGAAGTAGGAGAAAAGCTCTTCTTCCATGCTTTTTTCTTGCCTTACATTTCAGGTAGTAATAACTTCTTATTCTTTCTTTTTTTCAAAAATGATGCCATACATCTGCTATAACTTAACTAACAACTCCTGGCTTGTGCCAAGATATATATATATATTTGATTTCTCAATTTTTACTTGTTCCACCTTCTTCTAGATTTTGCATAAAACTTTCCTGTATTCAAAATAACTGCACAATTTCACAAGCATATGACTGCTTATCATCCTACTCATAGGCCAGTTATTGACTGTTATGTGGCACTTTCTCTACTTGCCCTTTACTTTGATAGTTCTTACCAGATACGATCATATTTTTTCTTGGCATATCATTATTTTTCCCTTTACTTTGCTGTGAAGGGATCAGAACATAAGTCTTTAGTGTGTGGGGATTGGGACCAGAATTTGTTCCGGTCTTCTTGGGATGTTTAAGCCAACAGTTTACAGTTTATTTTATTTTTTGTCCTCCTCCTCCTCCAGAATTTTCACCACAGTTGGAGATTATTTTAGATGTTTGGCTGCTTCCTGTGGTTTTCTGAGTTTTATTTGGAATATCTCTCATTTTTCCTATCCCTTTCTTTGTTTAAATTCAGCAGATATTTGTCTTTCTAGGCAACATCTTTGTACTTTGATTATAGATTGTATATCTGCTGTTTTCTGGAGTTGGAAATAATATGTTTCTGCTTCTCACCAATTTACTTCTGTTGTTACCTCCTCTCAAGCCAGTCAAGGTTCTTTATTATTTTTGGGCTATTATGGTTGTCAATCTCTCCCTTTTAGCTTCTTGATGTTGGTTTTATAGCACTGAGTTAAATTCATTGTTTCAGTTCTCCTTTTTGTATGTTCTGTTGTTGTTAACTCAACATTCTATTTCCTGATGGACCTTTTTTATTGATTATGATTGTGAATTTGTGGCTTCTTCAATTACATATCTTGCAGGAGGAAAATTTGTCTCGGTGGAGAAGGGTAATTGTAAATGATCCGTGAACTCTGGAGGTTTTAGGCTTCAGTATTTGACTGATGTGGGAGGTTGCCCCACATCAAGAAAACTAGGGATTGGATCTATTCAGGTTAACTGTGTTTTTAACTATTTCTCATTTCAGATCAGTATTTCTCCTAACTGTCTTATTTAGAGAAGAAATGTTGGATGTCAATGGTTTTCATAACTGATGCTTTTTTCATGTTCCAATACATTTTCAGTTTCATCACTTCCTAATTTTGTCTTCCATGTTTTGAACCATTCAATTTGGTCTTACACACAGTTTGTTTCACATACGTTCACAAGAGTGGTTATATCCATGGTGTTATTCCTTCCTAAGCAAGGTTTTAGTTTTTATCACTTTCTTTAGAATTGGTTATTATCTTTTTTCTGGGTGCTTAATAGTTGCAAAAGATATATATATATATTGGCTTCACACTGTGTTACAGATGGAATGGTCTCATCATCCATCTGTGTACCATCTTTTAGTTCTGTTGCAACTCAGCTATTCCACAACTGATGTTTTTCGCCATGGTGTGGAAACATGTTACATCTATGATAGCCACCTGTTCCAGATTATGCAACTCTCAGCTGGGTGTCTTTGCTAAAGATTGGTAAGGTTTCTGTGTGTATGCTTCTTTTCTGATCAGATTCCTGTTATTATATGTGTTGTAACAGATATGCTTTCATGTCATGCAAGGTTATACTGGTGGCTCCTTTTTGGCCACTTCAACCATAGTTTTTTTTTGAGATAGGCAGTGCACCCTTTATTTCCTCTGCCCAACTGTAAAAATTTCTTGCACATTCCCAGAATGTCATTATTCTATCACAACATGTTAAGGATATTTCTTCACTCATGGTCTCTTCAAGCTATTAGTGGATCAGTAAGGTTTTGTTTTCTAACTGCAGGAAATCTTCCCTAGTTATCTGTTATTATGAGAGAGGACTTACCTTCAGCAGGAGAGGCTCGAGGAGCTTGGTTCTTTGTTTCTATTCACTCCTTTAGTTTGTGACTTTTATTACCTCTCCCTTTGGAGAGTTGAACTCTCAGTTTTTGCTCTGTAAGCTATCAGCCTAGCATGGCTTGGTAGTTAGGGTACTTGACTTTCAATCTGCTGTTCGTAAGTTTGTATCCCATCATCAAATGTGCTTGCCCTTTCAGCTGTAGGGGCATTATATGTTATGGTTAATCCCACTTTTCATGGGTAAAAGAGTAATCCCCAAGAGTTGGCATGGGTGGTGTTGATTAGCTGCTTTCACTGTAGTCTATCACTTCTAAATTGTGGATGGCTAGTGCAGATAGCACTCCAGTAGTTTTGCACAAAATTACAAAACAAACAAACTGTAAGCTTTCTGGGAAACCTTGAGCTATATCTTTACATTCAGAGGCTAAGCTTGGCCATTATATTATTTTGCTAATAGAAATGTTTAAATAATTTTGTATCATATATGCCCTCTTGGGTGATATCCTCTGTGGGCTGTGACCTGCTTCAGGTTCTTGATGCATTCTGCATTTGCTGATCTGAGTTACATTCTATTAACATTCATCACACCTCTTTTTTTCTACTTGTGGGTCATTGTATTTCTAAACAAATTAATATTTTCTTCCCAAGACTTTATTTGCATTGGTGGGTCAAAGTGGATACTCTCCCTTCATCTTCTGCTCAGATATGATAATTTTGATTTGTACAATGTTATGTTCTGTTCAGGTAGTTCTATGCACATTGCTCTTACAAAGTTCTTTTAACCATTTGCATCCAGTCTAAGCTCTTTCACAATGTCATGACCTTTTACAATACTACATTCAAAATTTAATTAAGCAACTTTATTATCAATGCATGCCAATGAACTTTGTATGAAAATGTAGCTTATAATTTAAATTTGCATGTTATCTAATTTCCAAAGGAAATATTTATAAGATTCTCAATCTTCATTTTTCTATGTTAAATGATGCATCTGAGCTCTGATTTCTCCTTCTCAGAATTTTATACTATCAAAAACAGACTGCTGCAATTTTCTTCTAGTTAGAAACACAAGCTGTACATTACTACAAGCAAGAATCTAAAATTTGAACCTCCTACATTCTTGATTTGCTGAGATATCAATAAATTTGTCAAACCCACCAGAAGAAATTCCCCCTCTCTCTCTGACTTTCAGGATTGTTTATTAATTAACTTTACATGGCTGATGGACATTTTATAACTAATAGAAGGAGTACATTCTGCTCTACATAAATCTTACAAGTAATTGTTTGGTTTTCCTAGCATTAACCATTGCTCAACAAAATTGCTTGGTTTGTGGTGCTCATATGTCGTTGCTCTGAATGCTAAAGGACTTTTTTAAACCCATGTATAGCTTACGTAGAAAGCCAGATAAATTAGCTTTGGGACATTCTATTCCAGTGACTGATATATTTTTTGTGTTCTAAAAGTCTATATTTAAAAGATACATGAATTGTTATTTGGACAAATTTGAGACTCAAGAAGGCCAACAGAAGAATACTTATTTGAGTGCAAACTACTTGAGTAAGCAGTGAGTACTATATATCCTTGTTTTTTTTATGTATATTTTTTAACAAGAAACTACGATTAGAAAATTGTAAGCTTTGATTGACGAAACTTCAGTGAAATAAAATGTCTAAAATAACACTATCTCTGGGCATGTATAAAATGATACTACAAATTATACAATCACATGAAAAAGCTAATGGGCTTCCATTTTTATTTATTGCTTTTAAATCTTGGATTAATACTCCAATGTATAAGGTGTAGCAATATAACCATAAAATAAGATATGAAAAGTTTAAAAGTTAAAGCTGTTAAGATAAGTAATTTGTATCTTTCTGCTGCAGTCAGTGTGCAGAGGAAAAAATGTTATTTTAATTTTATTTCATATTTTTTCCCCTTTTTTATTTTACTGTACTTTGATGATCTTACTACAGTAAATACTAGGGTAGAGAAAATAAGAGCTAAAATATAGAGTTTTACCAAAAAATCTTTTGACATTCATTAATGAAAAGAAGTGTTTTTATTCTTAGCATCTAAATCATCTTTCACCTAGGCTGACTTAATAAAGGCTTTTGAAATTCACAGACAAATACTTTATTAAACAAAAATCTGATTTTTTGTATACAACAAACTTGTAATGTGTACTAAAAAACTTGCCAAATTTCATGAGATACAATTAGTAGATTCAGAATTATAACAAACATTATTATGTATGCTTCAGATATATGGGGATGGTCAATTTGACTGAGCATGTGAACAGAGGGTTGATGAAATTGCAAATGTCTACTTATTCCATACCTGGATTTTTTATCTTCTGTATTATTGGCCACAGTGATACATTTCTATCTTAAATTCACCAGTCAAGATTACTTTAGTCTATCCAACTGTAAGATGGGTATCAGCTGATAGCTAATCTGCAATGGACTGGCATCCCATACAGGAGGAATGTGTAACCATTCTCATTCACTGAGATGGGATTTAAGCACTGGTTTGTATGTTCCATCTAGCCATGGGATGGATGTGACCATATACCATGACCATTATGGGTTGTATAGGGTGTTCCTTCACAATGAAGGCCATATACCACCTAGTATATTATTTTGAGACCAACAATGCACATGTATCTTGAGGGTAAATTATGGGTTGTCTCAGCCACTTTATTCTAGCTGCTCATTCAAATGCTGGCAGTACTGCAGTTTTCCTTCTCTAGAAGTAATAGGTTCTTCCTTTTCCATTTTCTCCTCCTTTTTTGCTTGGATGTTCTAGTTTGAGGATGTAGTAGATGTATAGTATTGTATTTGAAATCAACATTTTAGAATTGATATGAAATTCATAAGATACTATGATTGATTCTTCCCACAATGTTGGGTTGAGAAAATGTGTCAATATATGTTAAGGAACTACCAATGTAAAGGCTAGGTAGAGAGCAAAGGTAGCTCCTTGTCATAGGTGGTGATTGAGCTAGACATTTGAGCTCAGCAGTTAGCTTGAAGACTTATACTGCTAAAATTCAGGGTTTGGTCCCTATGGTGGGCACAGCACAGAGAAACCATTTTACAGTTTTGTGCTTAACAGCTAAGACACCTAGATGACAGAGGGCCATAATCATTTGATGAAACATATTTATTTTTAATGAGGTATGTTTGTCAAAACCAGATCTATTACATCTGTATCTAAATTTCTAAAAATAGCTGTAACTTTATATATCCTTCAGTTTATATAAACCTTAAATTGTTTATTTCTTAACTTGTGTTTAATTGTTTAAGGATTGTCAAAATAGCATATATGCAACAACCATATTGAAGTTTTCCTTAATATTTTGTCATGTATTTCATTTGTACACATAAGTGATTTGAGTATTATTTAAGTTTTAATTCTTTTAAGTTATATTATTGTTTAATGTCAATTATAGCCTTTTATTCAGTATTGGGCATTGAAATGAAATCACTGAATATGTATAGAAGTTTGATAATTGTTGTATAAGAACAGTCTAAACTTTATTTTAGAATAAATAGTACTCAGAGTCGTTAATGTTATTATGTAAATTCATTTAAATTTTGTGTTGCTATAAACTTCAGGCACAAAATAAGATTTTGAAAACCAAAATATAACTATAAGAACACTAGTTTGTTTTTTAATGTTTTCATACTTTGGATTTAAATTACAAATAAGCTTGCAGCTCTTTTTTTTTCTTCTTCTTGATTTGAGTTTCATCTACAAATAGTCCCTTATTGCTGTATTTGTCCAGGTTGTTGGTACAACTACATGATGAACTATTGTGGGAAGTGCCTGATATTGAACTGGAAGCTACAAAATGTGAGTTGGAGGTTTATTTTAGGTGCTCTATATTTACATGTATAATTTTTTCTTCTTCCAGCTCTCAGGATATCATTCACAATTGTGAAGTAAATAGCTTATGGGAAATAAAAGTAGAGACTTAATAATATAATTTGTTTCTATGTGCATCATACATTTTAGAAATGCAAATGCTGCCATGCAACCTAAACTGAAGTTGGTTTTCTTTGGAAATTGCATTAGAGTAATTTTGTTTAGCTTATAAAATCAAAGGTTTCTACTTCAAATTATACTTCTTAGAAAATTGAGAGATTTCAAGTTGTACTTTTCTATAAAGAATAATAAAATGTACATTACAGAAACCAAACTTTTATATTGGCATATAGTACTATTAAAGATTAACAGAGGGCATGGTATATACACACTAAAGATGGAAAATATTTTGTTGCATTGACAGCTGAATAAATACATAGCTACCAACTCCATTCTCTGAACTTGAACTGTCCTGGAGTTCTGTAATGATGTATAACTAATGATGACTTATTTATAACTGTAGAGGATTGTTGTAGCTTTAGCTTAATATTTACAGGCTTAGTGAAGAAAGTGATGGAAGATACAGGTAGACTTCTGAACCAGCAGGTAATACTAGAAGTTCCTATTACAGTCTCATTGAGTGTTGGGAAGACATGGGGTGGAATGACTTCTCTTCCTCCATGAATTGATATTTGTTGTGTAACAAGAAAGATACTTATTGCTTGTTTTATTTTGAAAAGTAATTCAATACAGTGAAATATATTAAAAAATACAGTTAAACATTTTGAAATTTGTTAAGCATTGACAATAAGATTTTCTAACATTAATTTTTTTAGATTCTCTGATAATTATCTACATGTATATATAAATAAATAATTCAATAAATATATATACAAAGGGTGGTGCAAAATTATCTTTCTATTTTAAAATTTAATAATTAAATAACTAAGGAAAAACAACCATGCAGTTCTCAATATCTTGTAGCCCAACTCAAAGTTTTTGTCATTTTTGTAGACTTCTACTTGTGCACCAGTAACGGTTCTCAGCACGTATAACTAATATTCGATTTTAGTCCATGTTTACTGCAACATGCCCACAGTTACAGTGGTAATGACATCTGTTATTCTGGTCTTTAGCTCCGTGATGTTTAATATAGGTGTGCGATACATGATGTCTTAAGATGCCTCCAAGGAAAAAATCTAGTGGAATGATGTCTGAGGCCATAGAATTGGCCCAGCCCAACCAATCTATCACATTGAGCCTTTTCTTTAACAGTTGTCATTTTACAGGATAACACTACTCACTGGAGTAAAAAAAAACATGACAATAAAAACTGTTTGAGTTGGACTACAAGCTATTGAAAATTGCTTGGTTTTATTTCCTTAGTTATTAAATTTTAAAATAGAAAAGATAATTTTGGGCCACCCTGTATATGTATATACATTTGTGTGGTAAATGCAACTGGGTAAATACTAATGTTGTATTTAGATCATCATTATAAACAAATTTAACATGTTATATAACAAGTGTTCTTTCATCCTTACAGGCTATCTTAACACATTAAGGATGGGTTACGAATTTACTCGTGTTTTGTGCAGAGCATCTTTGTGTGCCATTTATTAACATGTTTAGTTTGAAAGGAGTTGAACGTGTTTTATTTTGTTCATAACTATATTTTTTTATTGTTTATTTGAAATGTACAGAGTATGTACATGAAGACACCTAATAAATTTTTAAAATGTGGTATCTTGTAAAACATTTTCCTATACGGAGTGGAACCGCACAATACTTACATATGTATCGCATTTCACTTCTTTTCCCATGGGCAGTACAAACTCTGCAGGCTCTGGCAGGAAATTTTTTTCTTCCTGTAGATGAAATTAACACAGGAATATGTTGCTTCATGTCACCAGACAGTCGTCCTGGAGGATCCTTATGTGGGGCTCTCCTTTTACCTAGTATACGTGGTGCCACAATCCAAGATTGGGAGCAAGAACTGGAAAAATAGTCTCCTCCAAATTTTTCCCCCCACCATATAAATCTCCATGTTGTAAATATAACCTGTGTCACTCTCACACACCATTCTCACCAGCAGGCCATATTTTACAATTTTTGCAGGGTTTTTTGTTCAGAATATTAGATGTCCTCACCATGGAATCATGCCCTCATCCAATGACAAACTGTTGCTTTGGTTTGTATACTGTCATGAATTTATTGAGGAAATAATCCAGTACTGGTTGAAAAGCCGGCCTGAAGACTCATCCATTTTCTGGTTATCATTGAAATGATGCCAAAATGCCCAAATTTGTTTTAGCTTATTGTCTGCGAAAATATAGGGCTAATCAACAGAGGATCTATTGACCAATAATCTTTCCAGTTATATTTCCTTGTCTGTCCCATAAGTAGAATAAGGCCTAGGAATTTCCTCATGTCTGTAGGTGTAACTTCAGACCATTAAAGTCCTTTAGATAACATTCTCTTTTTAAACAAGTCATCACCAAACATTAAACTTGTCAGGCAGCAATACTTTTGGGTTTGGATAGAGTTATAGGACCCCTGGATTTCCTTCAAACATTTTTAAGTCCAGTGGAATATCTATTTCTGACCAATTATCATTATCACAACAGGAAAACAAAATTACTAACAGGAACATTTGTAGACTCATCATCACTTTCTGATTCAGAATCAGTTGAGAGCACAATTTTACGTATCTTTGTACGTATAACAATGTCACTGTAGCTAGTCACTGTCAGAATGATAAACACATCTACATCAGAATCTTCACCTTCACTTGGAAGATCTGACAAATTATCATCAAATAGTTCAGTAATTATATCATCTTCATTCAACACGTTACGTTTTCTGCGAGAAGCTATTTATAAAAATATGGGTATTGTAAGCAAAAATCAGAAAAATAATAACTATGCGGAACAAAATAGAATGCGTCGGACTCCTTCCGAACGTAACGTTTTAATACATGGCACAAAAAGACACTCTGCACGAAACACGAGTAACCTCGTGACCTGTCCGCAATGTGTTAATATAATTTTTTAAATTTTATATGTCAGTTAAATGTCCATAATAATTTTTTGATGTTAGAACAGTGTAAACAAAACCATGATAAATATATATTTTTCTTGAATAAAATCTCTTGTACCTGACTTAGTATATTCAAGTGAAATATAGTTATAAACATATCTGTACTCCATAGCTATATAATAGTGAAGGTGTGAACAATAAAAATGTTATTCATGTTTGTTTTACATGCACAAGTAACATCTATATTCTAAAAAAAGTAAACAGGATTTTAATACTGTTTTTTATAACTAGAATTACAAAAACATTTAGATGGCACAGCTACTGGAAAGAAATGGGATATTTTTATCATAATTTTTTGCTAAATAATGAGAATAAAATAAATTTGAGATATTAGCAACTGTCTGAAAAAAAAGATACATTCAGTATGTGTCCATCTTAAGGTAAAACAAGGCCCGAGCATATACCAGTGGCTAGTATGCCGGACTGTGGGTCGTGTCCTGTTACTGGCAAAAAATAATGGCATGTATGTTGGTATGATAAGAGTAACCCAAGAGGTGGCGGTGTGTGCTGGTCATTAATTGTCTTCTCTTTATCAATTCAAAATTAGGAAGAGCTAGCGCAGTAGTTTTGAGAAGCTTTGCGCAAGTATTCTAAAAAGAAAAAACATATTAAATATTGAAAAACATTTCTTTTTTCAATGTAAATGAAGTGTACCAAATATGTCGTGGTCAAGATAAATCTTTAAAAACATTTGTTAAATTTAAGATTGGTTGATTGGTAATCACCACTGTAATCTTCGGAGAAAAATTTACTTACAATATTTGTATGTGATTATTAATGACCATTTTTGGTGTGGATTCGATTTTTTTTACGAGTGTTAGTTTACATCAGGAGTACTTGCATCCTTATACACTGTGTAAAATTCAACTTGAAAATTCGAGATATTTGCAGGATACTTGAATTTTATACTTAATACTATCGATAAATAAACTTGTAATGTTATTGTACGACCTAACGTCAAACTTTTTTTAAAAACTTTGATAAGTTTTTAATATTCTGTTGTAGAAAATGGTTAGTAAAGTATATTTACATTCCCCTTTTGTTGTTACTTCTTGTTTCTTACAGCAATTGTAGCGACTTGATCACCGAGCTTTGCAGCTCTTTGTCTTCGAGTGAATAATGCGCATGCGCGGTTTTTCTTGGGAAAACATTCTAACTACGCATGCTCATGCAGCAGGTTCTCGGTCAGAAAGTGTATAGGTCGTACATACAAACAAGCAGAATAATAGTATAGATTTTCAGTGGATATGCTCTATTGGAACCTTACTTAACATAAACTGTAAGGCAATCCGTTAAGAAATACACGAGATATAAAATCTTCTATTTTGATTTAATTTTTTCCTGTTTTTTTCTTTGCAGCAGCGAAAATACAGAAACTGTATTTCGTAGAAAAACATACTTGTGTGGATTTTTTTCCAAATTTGATACACAGACAGATTTCTAACATCTACAATTAAATGTCAAATTTGGTCTAAACCTAAGCTACGTGTGCAAAGTTATCCTACAAAATCTGCTCAAATTTGACTAAACTTTATGCGCACGCCTACGCAAAAAGTCACGTGAGCTATCAGGCTAAAATTTTTACTACAGCTTCATTTATAACTAAAAGTGAATGTTTTTAGTTTTGTTTTTTCTTGTCTTTGGGATTATAGCAGCAAAACCATAGGTTGAAAGGACGTGCAGATACGTAAGTATTGGTTAGGCCAAAAACTTTGGCTTATCATTTTCTAGCTCAAGTTTTCAAAAGAACCATACAAGTGAACGGTTATTATTTTCCGAATTAAAGAGCGTTTGCCGTCACGTGATAATAGCTTATGAAAATAGCGTAAATAATAATGCTTGATACCCCTGTACCAATTGCATGGGGGGTGATGACAAGAAACTGTTAATATAACTTCCATGGCGTTACTATAAAGGAAGTTATAAATACTGTTTTAGAGGGGAAACTACCACCATATATTTTAAAGAATCTGGTTTGCTCTGTAAAGTAAAGGTCTGTTCCAAATAATAGGGCTGTGATCCTAAAGCTAATGCTGGTTACTATCTAGTGTCACTTTCTTATTTGGTGTGGTTGGTTGGTGTGTATTGACAAAAAGTTATGATATCTAATCAAAAACACCTTAGGTGTGAAAAAAAAAGGTGAGGCCAAAAACGGATTGAGAGTGCAACTTAAACGAATGAAGTCAAAATGGTGACCAAACTGGTAGCTACACTTATAGCATTGATAAGAACTTCAGAGCAAATATTTATTCAATAGTTAGCTAAGCCACATTTTTTATTTTTCTTATCTACAATCATGTCCCAAGTTGAACAAAATACGCAGTCTAACTAACTGTAACTATTAGTTAGGCTGCGTATTTTGTTCAACTTGGGACATGATGGTAGGTAAAAAAATATATATATATATATTCCAATAGCATAGGAAGGGGCCGCCCCTCCATTTTTCCAGCTGTCCCATTACCAGTGCATCAAAAGTATTAAAATTACTCTCAGTAAACGCAGGAGAATGCATAAAATTCAATCCAAAACCCAAGAGCTTCCAGGGCCCTAAGGTGGGCTGTGGACCTCGGCTATAATGGGTCCGTCTGTGGCGCACATTCCAAACCAATCCAAAAATCGTGATAATAATTTATATTTGAGAAGTTTGACCGTAAACTGAAAGTTAAGGATCAAACGCAGTTGGGGTGCTTAGAAATCCATTTCTCTTCACCCCGTTCGTGGTGAGAAATTATTTGAAATAGCAAGGTGAAAA